TTTCGTTGTACCTCTGTGGCCTTTAATTGTAAATATTAACAACAATAATAAATAATAATAATAAATAAAAATAAATAAATGTTGACCTGTCCCAGCTCATCGAACGCCATCACGACCACCGCAGCGCCGTAGCGTCGAATCAGATTCGCCTTTTTAACAAACGCCTCTTCACCCTCTTTCAACGATATCGAATTCACAATACATTTGCCTTGACACGACTCCAAGCCCGCCACTATAACGTCAAAATTCGACGAGTCAATGCATAGCGGAACCTGAAATTAAATTTTTTTTTGAATTTCAGGTTCTTCACAAAATAATAATATTAATAACAACTAACCCTAGCCACATCAGGTTCTGAAGCTATCAAGCGAACAAACTTCGACATACAATGCACCCCATCTAGCAAGCCATCGTCCACGTTTATATCCAGCACCTGCGCTCCATTCTCCACCTGTTTACGCGCTATTTCGATACCTTTCTGAATATTCCTTCATAATTAATTGCCTGCATTACCTGCATTCAGGTAATTACCTGGATTGTCACCATTTTAAAAATCAAAACACTCACCTCAAAATCATTCTGCTTAATTAAATTGCAGAATCTCCTCGACCCGGCCACGTTACACCGCTCACCGATATTCACAAAATTTGTGTTCTCATCCACTCGGAACGCTTCCAGTCCACACAATAGTAAATTTTTATTATTATTATTAATGCCGTTCGTCAACGGTCTTCGAATCGTCTTCAATCGTTTCACCGCGTTCGCTATTTCACGTATATGATCCGGCGTCGTGCCACAACACCCGCCCACTATATTTACCTGAATTACCCTAATAATTACCTGAATTACCAAATACCTAATTATTACCTAATTACTTGAATTTACCTGAATAATAAATAACAATAAACAATAACAAAAGTAGTACCAAGCCATCTTTCGCGAACGATAACAGATCCTTGGCCAAGTCCTCAGGTCTCTCATCGTACCCTCCCAATGCGTTCGGAAGACCTTCCATCAAATATCAATTATCAGTCATTAATTAATTAATTAATTACTCCATTACTAAAACAATATTAAACACAGTAATAATATATAATAAATAATAACAATAAACAATCAAAAATAAAAACTACCCGCATTCGGATAACATATCACCCACGCCGCTGTATTTCTCGCAATATCCTCAATAAATGGTCTCATCTCCTTAGCGCCCAACGCGCAATTCAGACCCACCGCCATGGCATTCCCTTGCTTTGTGCTGATCAGGAAGGACTCTCCGGTCTGCCCGGAAAGTGTCCTGCCGGATAGGTCAACTATCGTTCCAGACAGGAACACCGGAATCTATAATAATAACAATAATAAATAATAAAAAATAACAATAAATAATAATAAATAACAATAATAATAAATAATAGTAACCTCCTCCATATTCTCATCTTCAAATAGCTGTCTAATCGCAAACAAGGCAGCTTTAGCATTCGCCGTATCAAACACAGTCTCCACCAGCAGTATATCCGCACCTCCCTTTATCAGACTCCGTGCCTGTTGAGAGTAGGCACTAACGAGCTCTTGGAATGCTGCAAAATATTCATAATTAATTATAATAAACTAATAATAATAAATAACAGCTAATTAATTAGTTAATTAACTCACTGATATTCCTGAAATCAGGCTGCTCCACTGACGGCGATATTGATAATGTCTTATTCGTTGGACCCATTGCTCCGCATACAAATTTTCGATTACCTTTAATAAACAATAATAATAATAAATAATAATAATAATAAAAATAATAAATAATAATAAAAATAATAACAAAATAAATCTAAAAAATACCCGTTGCCTTCTGCACATCATCAGCCGCTTTCCGTGCGATCCTCGCAGACTCGACGTTGATTTGATCCACCAAATGCTCACATGCGTAATCGTGTTGTGCTATCGTTGTCCCGCTTTAAATATTATTATTAATCATAATAAATAATAATAAATAACAATAAATAATAATAAATAACACTAAATAATAAAAACAACCACAAAACAATACTAAAACCTGAATGTATTCGTCTCAATGAAGTCTGCACCAGCTTCCAGGTATAATTTGTGAATTTTATAAATTATTTCCGGTCTCGTCAACGACAGCAAATCGTTATTGCCTTTTAGTGGCTTTGGGTGATCCTTCAAATAATTATTTAATAATAATAACAATAATAATAATAACAATAATAATAATAATAACCAAAATCAAACCCAACCTTAAGAACGTCCCCTCTAAAATCGTCCTCGCCCAAATGCTCCCGCTGGATCATCGTACCCATCGCCCCGTCGATCACCATAATCCTCTCGCTGAGTATATTCCGCAGCTCATCGAATATCCCCTCATTTCGTTTCATTCTCAACAATTCCCTTCGCTATCGGCTGAAATACTTCAAAAAACCGGCTCTTCCTTTCAATCTTACATTAATTTCAAATACTGAAGCAAAAAATAATTTCTCAAAAATTTCGGCTCCAGCCCGGAACCGAACCCGCGACTCTCAGTGTATAGATCCACGCAGTGCGCCACTGCGCCATCAAACACCCAACCTAACGGCTTCATAAATAAATCCAACTTCATTACTCTATTCTATCTCGCTGATATTTCGCATTCCCTTCAAACCGGTTCCAATATGAACATGATAATGAACCGAACCACATGATAATTAAATAACAACAATTATAATGAATTAATAATAATAATAATGAAATCACAATAATGCACTAACAATAGTAACAATACTAAAACAACAACAACAGATGAAAGACATGTAAATGATATCGATATAAGGAAGGAATGCCATCGGAAACATATCTAAACATATAAAGAACATCTAAGA